TCTTTTTTTTTGCTGTTGGGTATACAGGCGTGCGCTCGCGCTCCGTGTGGCTTTTGTGTGAAATAAATGCATAAAGGACGAAAAGAACGCGTTGAAAGATTGAAAGAGAGAAAGAGAGAAAATCACATTGATTTAACGTGCGATGGGACCAATTTCAAGATAAAGGTAAAGATGAGGCTTAAGTTTTTATTGTCAGCCTTTTTCAATCATCATAAAATTAATCCTGTAATATATACTATAGATGAGAAAGGATCGGTGCTCATTTCCAATTCAACCAATTGAACAATGATATAATACATTCATGGGAAAAAAGCAATCAAGAATATTATATATGCTAAATTTATGTTTATGGACTAAAAGTATTCCGAAATGTCTATTATGTATAGTTGATGATGAAAAGAAGTGAGAGCAACATTGTTAACGGCTATCGGTAAATTGTCAGAAATATCCAATGAAATTTCACACACACACAGGCTTTTTTCTTCTGTTATATTTTGGAGTGGATAGTTATGACGAGTGCGTGACTTTTTTCTTTTACTTTAAATTCAAAACTATTTAAGCATGAAACTTAGTGTCTTTGAACAATTTATTGGATTGAGAGGATAGTCTATTGTTCGAAATTTTCATATCGCTGGGAATTAAGCTTACACTCGCCAGAGACTCATGCAATCGATGAAAATTGAATGATTTTTGATGGAAGGAGCGCAAGACAGAGAAAAAGATACACCGAGCAGAGGGAGAATGAGTAAGAGAGATGAAGATAGTAAAATCAAGTAAAATCATTGAATGAATGTGCGTCTTTTGATTTTGCCAAATGGTTATATTCACATGGGATTTGGCGCATCTGAAAAAAACGAACAATTCATAATAATCGTTTCATCCTCTGACATAACAATGAAAATTATTATAAAAATCCTTCATTTTTCAATGATTCCAATGAAAAGACTTTTCTCGATGTATCGCAGTGCCTCCCAAGAGACGTTTTTTTTTTTCATCACGTGAAAAAAGAACGTGAACATTACGTGATTGTTCCCAATCAAAGTTTTGACTTTGAATTGAACGCTGCCAGTTAATCGTTTGCGCATATGAATAGGAGAAAATTCCAAATGCCAAACTTTAGAAAATAAATCTCAAAATCGTAAAACTAAAATCATGAAATTTATGATCGAAAGAAATGTGAATATATAATTCAAAAAATCTACACATCGAATACAATGTATGCACCTACGTGCAAATGACTCTATACAGAAGCATGTGTATTCATAAGTATTTGCTAGCCTCGCTGCCCACTGTTCAGCCCCTGAAAATGATAAGCTTCCTTCTGTGGAGAATATATCATTTCAATTCACATCACGAATTTTCAACAATAAAATCGAAGAAAATAGAGAAACGCAAAAGGTATTAAAAAAAACTTTTTTTCCGCTTCTCTTTTCTTCTTCGGATTTAATACAATTTTTTTTTTGGTTTTGTTTTATTTGAAGAATGTTCATTGCCTGACTGACAGTAATTGAAGTTTGAATAGTTGCGGCCCATCGCGCTCCTCCGCGCTACTTTCACCGTTGCGCACTTACTGCTGCTGCTGTCATTTAAAATTTAATTGTGCCCTTCTAAATACAGAGAGCTATTGCAGCATAAGCACGATTTAAATTATCGTTTTCTTTTTCGGTTGTAAAAATAGCGTCGAATGTGAAAATGGCATCCATAAATTTTATTAGTTTTGAAAAAGTTCTACAAAGCAAACAAAGTACAGTGTTTTTCCCTCGGTTGAAGTTTGCAACCCACAACATTTGTGTGTGTTTTTTTTTATTCTCTAATAGGCTTTTGTATGTATAGATATCATCGTTTCTTGGCGACATGCAGGTGTTGAGTTGAATATATATATATTTTTTGTTGTTCGTTTGTTCGTTTTTCATCATTACCTTGTTCCAATTTGGGCAATGGATGACAACGATCCACTTTGGTCATTCGAAATGTTCGGTAAACAAATGAATTTGTCCGAGTTTTAACGTCGAGTAGAGGCGCAGAGAGAAGAGAAAACTCTAAATTAATTTTCAAGTAATTTCGAGTTGTTTATAGACCCGTTGTTCGTTTCATGTGCGGAATTGATTTGTAGGTGGCCGCCAGAGACATGAGCATAATTCAGTTTGGGAACAGAGAGATACTCTTTCTTTCGTTCGTTTGCTGTCATGTAGAATTTGTTTGGAAACTAAAATATATTCATGATCATCATTAATTGACTGAAAACATGCCATATAAATATTTGTCGATGTATTTTGTAACTGCTACATACATTTCGGACGATGTGAAATAATAGATAGGAACGTATGCTTTTTCGGCCGGTCGGATGACAACGCAGCCACGAAAATTTCAAAATACCAGTACACTGTTTTTTTTTTTGGTTTGTTCATTTCCCAATTTTATATATATTTTTTGATCGAAAAAAATTATTCAAAAAGTGACACATTATTATGTGGAAGCCGAATGCCGCAACGATGTCTGAGAGAAGAGAGAGAGAAGGCGATACAGAATGACAGAGCACCCAGAAATGGTACAAAATTTATGACGGTGCACATAATTCAACGGTAATTCAATCGAACCTGTACTAATGTAAATAAGACATGATCGAGATCAAGATTTGAATATCCACTTCATAATACACAATCAATATGCTGATGTGGAGCGTGTGCGCGACCACGATTGCATTCAGCATAGAATCAATCTTTCGAAATTGAACGCGAGCGCGAACAAAAAGAGAATGAAAAAAATGCAAACAAACCTGAGAGAAAAAACCATTTCAACAAAAGAACGAATTCAATCGATAAAGATGTTAATGTTGTCTCTGTCTCACTCACTCGCTCGCTCGTTCACTCGATGAATTTGAATTATTCAGTGGGCAGTTAGATCTATTGTATTGCATCTCTCAATGTACACGATGATGTGTCTGTCTGGTATGTATCGATTTGTATGTTTGCGATGGCGAACAACAAACGATACAATGGCATGACCGTTAATCTTTTTTGCTGCTTGTACGTCAACACTGACATCTTCATTTTTCATCGATGACACTATCCGATCGAAGATTAATCGATGCATACAGTGATACTACAATAAAATAAAATATCTTGTGAACAAACTGAACTGGGAAATGCCAAATTCCAACCGTACGGTGTTCGGGTAACAGGATGGTGTTCGTTTTTTTTTTGGCGAGCATATCAACAATTTGACATTCACTGACAACTTCGTGGCTTCTGCTTCTTTGTGGCTAACAATAATGCAAGTGTGAACACGATTTCGAATCGTCTGAACAATTTATCGAAACGATGCCGACTGATGCAAGAAATAAATAATTTCTTCGTTTTATTGGAGATGTTCAGCAAACATAAACTGTGAACCCTTGTCTCGTCGGTTAGTGTGAAAAATGTGATAATTTGACATTTTTATGTGTACACGATTGTCGAGTTTATATAAAACATTTGCCAATTGCACATATATAAAAAATTGAGTCAATAGAGGGAGAGAGTAGAATAGACACATGAACGGTGTAACACACATTTATGGTTTGCTTATTGGGCAAGCAAGTTAGAGATTATTATTATAAAAATAAAGAGCTAAGATCACACGACGATGAAAAGGCCGACAGAGAAAAAAGCGTTTTGTCCATCCAGCTGTTGTTTTGTTTCTCAATTTTGTGTGTGTGTGTGTGTGTGCCTATGTCTCTATATCTCACTTTTGTTTCTACAATTCTTTGGAATTGGCCTTTTTTATTTGTTTTGTTTTTGTAAATTTTTGTACCTTGTGCCGAAACCGGGATATATCTCTCTGTTTTTTTTTTGTCTCTCTACTCTCGAGCGCACTAATTCGGTGTAAGATGTTTTCGATTTCCATTTTTTATTGTTGTTGTTGTTTTTGTTCAAAAACGATTATCGTTTCCCGCCCGCTTTCAACTCGGTTTCTGTTTCTCTCTCTCTCTGTTCTCCAGATACATTTTAGATGCATTTTGCTTGCTTCGGTAACTTATGAGCTATTTCTCACTCAATGTTTCCAATCACATTGAGTTTTGCTGTGTGTGGATACTTTTTGGCCGTGTTCGCACCGAATCATTGTGTGTGTATGTGTCATTTTTGTTGTTCGGTTTCGGAAATTTATATACATGGATTTTCATTATGTTTATGAATCGTTTTATTTTTGTGTGTGCTATATGCAATGCATTCTCTTTCTATCTCTGTGTTTCTTGTTGTTGCCTATTTGGTATAACCTAAATGTGTTAAAATATTCTTTACATACTGTGATGCTATTTTTTTTCTCTCCTCCTTCAACAACAAACATAAAATAGAAATGTCAATTTTCGATAATCCGGAACGAAATGTGGATGCTTTATATTTTTTAACTACTAACCGGCATCGGCTTTGTGCTTTTTAATAACCATTTTATCTTGCATACATTTTTCTACTTCTTCTTCTTCATTGCCGTCGTCGTCGTTTGGAATGCGCTTTTCATCTTTGTTCTGATGACTGCACACTGCACACTGTTCTCTCTCTCTCTCTCTCTCTCTCTCTCTCTCTCTCTCTCTCTCTCTTGCTCGTGTGTTTTTTCTCTCTTCCCAACTAGAATTTGTTAACTAGAAAACAATTATTCTTCTGGTATTTTTCTTTTAATTTCATTCGTTTGGTTTGGCATTTACGTAAAAACATACACACAATCGCCGCGTGTACACACCATTTTATAAGTGGATTCAATTCATATATCATGCTTAGCCAAGACAAATCATGACCAAAGCATTTCGCTAATCATTTTGAAAATAGCAAAACATATACAAAGCACCTCGTCATATTGGAGAATGCGCTCGAATGGGTTTCCCCCCCCCATCTCCATTGAATTTTACATTATTTGATTGCACTAATGAAATAAGCATAGTTCCGATCAATTTGATCGATCAACTCAAGTATAGCAGAGTTCGGAAAATAACAAACGAATGAGAAAAATGGTGTTGCTCTACTTACGTGAAGTCACTGGATCGTCGTTGGCTATAATTTTTCCTTCGTGCATCCCAACAAACCTGTTTGCACATTTTGAATATAAATGGACTTGTTCTCGGCTGCAAAGTGATCCCGCAATCACCACCTAAAGTAAACAAACAAACAAACAAAAAAACACGAACATTATTCATACGAATGAAATACGAAAATAATTTTCAATTCAATTGAAGTTGTGTTTTGCTAATGAAAGATGCGCAAGCAATCTAAAGTGAAACAAACAACTTTGACAGCTTCACTGAATGTTTCGCACTTCAATTGCATTTTCACAATCATGATTTTGTGATGATGCAATTTTACGCATGTATCCAGCTGACTCATGACATCAAATCGATTAAAAATTTGGCCAAAATAAATGTTTGATCAATCGTATAAGCATTTAATCCGGACATTGTTTTTTTAAAAACTTATCTGAATTGTTGACAACCGTTCTCCAATGTTTTTGGTCGTTATCGTTCGACAATGAGAAAATGAAAAGGTTCTGATTATTTGTAAGCACTTGCAAAGGTTCTTGTCTTCTTTATCAAATTAATCCAATATTTTTTTGCGCTTTTTTCGCACGACTCGAAAATGATACAAACACAAAGCGAGAGAGAGAGAGAGAAGGAAAGAAAGAGAGGGAAGAAGAGATATCCGAAATTATGCAACGTTGCTTTTCTGTTCCAATGTTCGCTATTAAATTGAAAACTATTTGATTTTCGTGTGCATGTTCGACTCTTTTGGTAGTTGCTGCATGCAGTATTTTTGGTTCACAAACTTTTGAGTGTGTACATGGAATGCGTATATGGTTTAATTTGAAATTCACGCAATTCTTTTTTTTGGCATTTATTATTTTTGAGCATGCACATCATGGATTTAATTCTGTTGAGTTTTGGCATGCTGAACACTCTTTCGCCCTGGTGCTGTATAAATAAAACAAAAGAAACAAAAGGATCACAACGGCGAATGTGTTTAATTGGATTCGGTAAAGGTGTGCGCACAGACACATGGAGACAGAGTGAGAGAGCGATAAAAGCAAAGAGATTGAACAAAAACATTACTAAAAGAGCTTGAGAGAGAGAGAAAGATGGCAGAACGAAAGCGTTAAAGAATGACAATGCGTGTATTCTTGTGATGTACAAAAATTTGTTCGATGAAGAGAAATGTTCGAGTACAAAAACGAAAGACAAAAAAAAAGTTCTCGTACAAAATGGCGTTTCCAATTATTTCGATGTATGAATGTAATATTCTTGAGTGCACCCAGCCTCTATATCGACACATTTAGCATTTTGGCATTGTGCATATTTATATCGTTATGTGACGAAGCATATGGTTGAGAAAAAGCAACGCGCTCCATCGATTCCAATGAGAATTGTGAGTATCACACATTCTCTAATCTGATATTCAAATCGCAACAGCGACAACCACAGAAAGAAGCAAACAGCATCACAGATGGAGAAAAAAAAGAGCCAAACGCGAGAGAAGTATATTCATCACGAATAATACATTATCTCGGCATTCGGTCTCCTTAATTTACCATGGCCTGTTTGAGAGTGATAGAGAGTGTGTGTGTTAGCGCGCGCGGCATGTTAAATGGCATGTATAATGCTCATATAACACACTTAAGATATTGGATTAAACGACTGAACAAGCTGAACACCACATTTATATCGCCATGAAAATGAATAAAGAAAATAATCACAAACGCATTCGAATCAACAAGCTTGAGCCATTGCTTTCTTGCAATGCACTCGAACAAAATAACATCAACGACAACAACAATCAAAATCGGTCTTTCTCGAAGGCGACCGCATTCGCACACACTCACTCTTGAACTGTGAGCACATAACATTCGATTTAGATTACCGGAGTGCCAACATGATAAAGGGAAGAAATCATCAGACAACGGTGACGACAACGACAGCGAACAGCAAGAACTTGGCATTGCAAAGAGCGTGAAGCTTGATGTTAATTTCATATTACTAATTTGAGGCGCCAAACTGTTGTTTATATCACTTCATTTTCGTATCATTTTTTTTGCTCTGATCTCTCTCTCTCTCTCTCTTTCTCTCGCTCGCTCACTTCATTTCTTTCTTTTTTTCCAACTTTTCACAACGTGTTGTTATTGGTGTTTCTGCCTTTTTTTAATGTTGCATTTTATTTTGCACTTCTCTTGTGTGCAGTCAGACATTGAGCGAGCTCTTCGTTTTAACGAATTCTCATCTTTTCATTTGTGCTTCTTGTATTTCATTTTTTTTTCGCTCTCAATGTTTGATTGTTGCTTACAAAAATGAATATTGCAGCCTACTGATGCTGTAACATTGCCGTTTGCATCTTTTTTCTCTCTCTCTCTCTCTCTCTCTCTCTCTCTCTCTTTCAATGTTCGGTTTCATTATGTTGAGTTCGCACTCTTTGGCAAGGGTCGTCTATCAAATATTCGACACATACCGAATGAATAAAATACGATTCGATATAAAAATATACGCGGTAGACTTGAATCGTGATGTTGAAATCAGAGAGCGAGCCAAGGAAATCGAAAAAAGACCAAAAGAAAGAGAAAGAGAGAGCAAGCGAAAGAGTGAAAGAAAAATAGTGATCGAAAAACGGAAATTACTCCAAAAACGATGGAATGAACAAATTGTATGAAAATGCAGATTAGAATCGAACCCCGAAATTTTCAGCTTTGCGCTCGGCCAGTTAAACGAATGCATTCATTCGATTAAATAAATAAAAGCGAAACCATACAAGAAGAAAAAATAGATTGAATTAATTAACACTCAATTTATATTCTTCGACTGTTACAAACGAGGGGTTAAACATTTGTCGGCTGAGATCGCTTCCATTCGCTCTGTCTCTCTGCACATATTGAATGATTCGTGATTTTGGAATTGATTTGTAAGTGTGAATCCCCTTGGGCATACGATGATATACACAATTTCACAGTGAATATATATGTAATTCATATAATCCGAAAAATCGGCGCAAAAGAGTCGATGAATGTATATCGGTTTGGTGTGCGTTTAGTATGGCCAACATATTTATTAAATTGGATTGCGTGTTTAATGCATTAAATCGTTGGCTTTATTTCATCGTTAAAATGTTTGATGTTTGCATATTTTTCGTTATTTCCCAATTTTCAATTCGTGTATCGAATGCGGTTGGAGCGTCGTTCGATCGAAATTGTGTTTTATGGAAGATTAAATGGTGCCAAAGAATTGCAACTGTTTAACACGAATATGCGAATTTTTCTCTCTTTCTCTCTCTCTCTCTTGCTGATTTATTGACTGTTTTTTCTTGTAATTTTTTCGTTTGTATTTTGGCAGTACAGCATCCTCTTCCATGTAAAATGCAGATATTTGAAGAATTAGAAAAAGTAATTAGAGCTTCCTCTCTTTCCGATCGATGACCAATGGTGCAAGTTCAACGACAAAATTGAACCATAAATTCAAATTTCAATTATTGGTGTGCATGTTGCGAAGAAGAATATAATTATGATCGGGGTAATAAATAAAACAACAAAAGATGCTGATCATCAAGGTAAGTAGAGACATTGCAAGTGAAAAAAACCGACGACAACGATGATGATGATGAAAAAGAAGTTTTTTGCAACGTACACTTGGTGGAGAGTAAAAAGAAATAATATTTTGACCTAATCTTACGTAAAGTGTTAATCTATGGAGAAAAATCAAGAGAAGATATGAATTAACTGGAAATGAAGAGAGAAGGTGACAAAAAAAGAAGCCTGCCACATTTCTAGCTCTGCGTCTCTTTCCCTCTCTCGGTCTCTCCTAGTTTTGCATGCATAATATTCTCAACGAAAAAAAAAACTAAGAAAAATGATTGAATAAACACAAAGAACAGTAACGGAAGAGACGGAAAAAATGATGGAGACGGAAGAAGGAACGAAAATTAAAAAGAGAAAAAAAAGAGACAGAGTGAAAAGAAACTGGAAACAAGCGAAAAAAAACACACAATATTACTCACTCCATGTCGAACAGAATGTCGTCGCCAATAAATGTATACAAAACAGTACATGATGTTACATACATCACAATCATGAATTGCACCGTGCGCGCGATCAACTAAGACTTCGACAGTGACAAAGACCGAACGTGCGAGTGAGAAAAAGAAAGACAGATAAAAACGTTGATAAATCGATGTGGATAAAACCGAGAGAGAGAGAGAGAGAGAGAGAGAACAAACGGCACGTAAATAAAAAGAATCATCGACAGGCTATCGACGTATCATCGACAATCGGTAATGATGAAATTGACAACTACCGATAAACCAGATGTCCATAATGCCAGTGAGTAAATTCATCAAAAATGCTTTTAATCGCGCATGAATAATAATCACTACAATAACTATTGAAATAAAATCACACTCTCTCATCTCTATGGCCACTACATAATAATATTTGCATTTATATAGTATAGATGTGGATGCCTTAATGCTTATAAGGTGGTTAAACGCTAAGCTATAGTGGCACGTATTATGTGTGTGTATGTGTGTGCTTGTGCACATTTCGGTGCGACAATGTTTCAATCGCAATGCCGTTAAATAGCAGGCGCACGCACACACCTGCGACGTTTTTCCAAAGCCAATTACTATTTATAGTTAATATTTTCGTCGTATAATGATATTTTCATTGGTTTTATGTATTAATATGCGGTGCATGGGTGTGTTGATGTGTGTTTGATGGTGTCGTACTTGAGAATCTCCATCAAATAATCGCGCACATTCGTTTTGCGCTCGCTGTACTCACTCATGCATACATTCGTTGAACGAGTGTCAAAACTAGGCTTTCTGAGGAATGGCGAGTAGTAAAGCATCTTGCTAATTGTTATTAATCTGCTGTCATCTTAGTTCACGTACATTCTTGCATGGCTCCAATAATCTTTTTTTTGTTCGCCTCTCTGTCTCTAACTGACTCGCTCACTCCTTCCAACTACCCAAACACCTCCAATTTGAAGCAAACAACTGGTAGTTTATGACTTGTTAATAACGCCGAACTGTTTTGCAGTTTTTCGAGCGTGAATTTTATACTCAAATTGACTAGTTCTTGAAAAAAAATCAATTTTTTTCGTCTCCATATGACATTTACCTATT